ATGCCCACAACATAAGTGCATTTTGTGAGCGCATTAAAGGCCATGAGCCGTAAAAATTTCAGCTCATTTCAGAGTGTTGAGCCGCCAGCTGTGTTGGCCAAAGGGGAGCAGGGGTGGAGGAGCGATGTTGTGTGCGAAAATTGTTGGCGAAAAGCAAAAGCTTCAGCACTGCTTAATGCGCATACCTGTGCTTATCAACATACACGCACGCATTTGAATCACAAATACACACACACACACACAGCTACCCTCCACACATACGCGTACATACATATATGAATATGTGAGCAGCCTGCTGGGCGCGATTAAAAATGCTCAGGACAATAAAAAAGCGCTTGAAGCCAAAATGGTGTGTCAGTCTGCACGTTCAAAAAAAAGACTATAAATGTGAGACCTCCTCCTAACCCTCCTCTAACCCTTTCACATTGATGCATGTGCATGCATGCGTGTGTGTGTGTGTATGCTGCAGCCACATGTTGCCCTCACGGGCTTCGCTTTTTCACAGTCGCTCCCTCATCTGTCTGTGCTCGCCTCGTGTGGTAATCGATTTTCGGCATTGCCTGTTCCGGCCCCTCATTTGCCTTCTCCATTCCACAGCCTCCAGTGCCACCACCTCCAACATCCTTCCCATTTTGAACTCGACGAGAATTGCGGCTGGCATCGAACAGAAAAGAAAACATTGGCCTGGTTATTGGCAATACGTTTGGCAATCGATGCATCCATCAATTTGTTTTTTCTTTCTTTCTTTTTTAAATGCAGTTGTTGTTGCTGCAAAACCGAGAGACTGCAGTAAATAACAAGTTTCGGCAGCATGAACAATTGCTATGGTGGTTGCATTTTCCCTTCCCCTTAGAGCGCTTGAAAAGAACTTTATCTACGAACAGATAACATAGCACATCATTTATTTAGCACTCATTTATTTAGTTCCAACATTATATACTACTAGCGTCCCGCCCCTGCTTCGCAAGGGGTATTTTACAACAATTTCAAACATTTTATAACACATACATTCTTTTTGCTATGAGTTACTAAAAAAGAGTAAAACAATAAACATAGTTTGCATATTATTATTTCATTGATTTCCCTTTTGCTCTTCTCTGTAAGCGATTTTTGAAGGGTTTAATGAATTAAAAAATTCCTGTGGGTAATGGACTGTGGCGTCGATATTAGTCACGGTGTCAATCGATTTGTAATTTTCTATTTGGCTGGGGACTTTTGAAAAATGTTGCCTTAATTTTTTAATGTTTCGAGCATGATTCTGAACTAATAGCATCCGGTTCAGGAATTTTATAGGTACTTTTTCTACACCTTGGGTTACATAATCGTAGACTATGTTACCCGGGGATAGTGTAGCTTCCCAACAGTGAAATAATCCTTTAAATCGGTCCAGTAGTTTCGAATTTAAATAAACATACAAACAAACAATCAAAAATTTCCTCTTTATAATATTAGTAGAGAAATACTTTTTACTTTACTTTCTGATTATATTGGAATCAAAAATTATGAATAAAAAATCTTAGCGAACACAAAAGTTATGATGATGCATTTCAGTCTTTGTGAGACTTATCCTCGAAATAATAAACATCTTTTATTGCCGTACTGTGTATTTATGACTTTGAATATGGCTGGCATTGGTATTAACCTTATGGCATTGTCGGGAGTTTTCACAGCACTCATACGCACCGTGTAACAGATTTTCATTTCGCCATTCCACCTCGCATAATTGACGTGTTTTATGGCTAGTTTAACCCACTAATAAATTGGAACAGGTGTTTTAGCTGCCGGCATGAGAGAATTGCTGCTAAAGCCACAACTTTTTGTTGCATACACATGCACATAAATCAAACGGGACTTAGGCGACAGCCTGCGGCTTAGCTCCGCACAGACTTGGCCCATGTGTGCCGCCAAATGTTTTTGGCTGCCATTCGCCATAAAACAAAAGCGGAAACCGCAAAAATGTTCACTCCGTTAGCGTTGACAATGCGCCAGTCGCGGCATAAAACTTGTTGAATTATTTTTGTTTTGTTGGTGTTGTTGTGTGTGGAATTTTTATTATTATTGCAAATTAAAAAAGTTGGTATCCGCCTAACTATGCGTTGTTGTTGGCGGCTCTGAACCTGTTCCAGGTTGGCTCTGAAAATCAACTATGTAAGAGCCAAGTTTCATGCTACGATGGACGACTAACAAAAATACCCAAAGTATTTTCAACAATTTGCCGCAGGCACAACCAAACCAGAGCCATCATAGACACACACACACACAACCAGGCTTCTGTGTGTGGGGACGAGCGTAGTGTTGTGAGCTCAGGCGTGTCGCAGTACGCCAAGCACTTGGCCCCTCAACTCCCCAACCAACACAAAGCTGGGAGGCTCCGGAGCGTGTTAGCAAATTAAATTCCATTTTCGCAGGTGGCGGCTGTCGAATATTTGCGTAAATGTGAAGCAGAGGCGCAATTATGAGTGCTGCAGGATGGTGGCAAGGCGTGGTGTGGCATGGCGTTGCTGGGTGGTTAACTGCGACATGCAGTCGTAAAATTTAATGCAGCAAAGCAAAAGCTCTGCTCCACCTCCAATATTCGCGCTGACTTTTTCCCGGGAATGCCAGGGTGACCAGCCGTCTGGGAAAGACTTATCAACGCTGCATATTTTGATGATTTTATTTTAAATGTTAATATTACTATAATTAGTTTGAATATTCATAATAAATTCGTATTTAAATATGTTTTTAATACGCATTTTCATTGCACTCCGACACAGCCAGTCGGGGCATATTATCTGCCTCCGTGATAGCTTTAAAATTGTGGAGCAGGATTGAAACTGTCGGACGTTCCACCATTGTTCCTTTTACTTCTAAAACTCTGCATTGAAGGGTTCATGCATGAGGTTCGTAGCCAATGGTGGTCGTCAATTCTATCTTCGAAATCTCAAGCACTTGAAAAGCTGTCATTACTTTTTTTCCTTTTTGCATAAACCGTTTAAAAAAATAATCAGACCCAGTGTTTGTTTTTTTTTACTGGCTGTTACATTACTTCATTATCATCATTCTATGACTTAAAGCATAGAATTGGGCTTATTGCAATTGTTGTTGTAGATTTCTCATACATATTTGTTTCTGGTAGCTTTGTTATATAAATGAGAACACTAATAATATTTGTTAACCATTTAAATAAGTTTGAGATAGTTATTTAGTTTCCACAAAATATGTCTTGCAGGCAGTTCTGGAATTTAGTCAATTTCGTAAACATTCAATATTTAATGTTATGCTTTATTATGTATACTACTTAGTTTGTTCAACTAGAGCCTGCTTGGTTTCTTACTTCTGTGGAAGGCAAAACGTAACGGATAACACAAAACACATCTTCTTTATTCGATGACTCGTTGGAGACTGAGTTAGAGCGCATTGCTAAGCTACAATGTATAGCGAGATCGGGGAAACAGCTGATAGGGTTGCCAGAGTTCCTGTGTACATACTTATCCTCCTACACTTCTTTTCATCCTAATTCAAAATAATGACAAATGAAACAAATAATATAACGAGTAAAGACTTTGAAGCGAGGTATAAATTTAAGTTTCCTTTTCCGTATAATTATGATGAGATATTAAATTTATCTTCACCCATCTCAAAAAATACACTAATATCAGAAATATGAGAGACACGCAATATGGTCACCTTTCTGGTCACTTGTCTTTGTGTAACATTTTTAATGTGCTTTCGAATTAAATGCCGCCAAGTTCCTGTAAAGTTCTGTATGAATGTATTTAGAAAAGCAATTTGGCTGTCAACGATCGGCGGGCGACTATTTGTAATTGTTGTTATCGTTGTGTTTTGTGTTGTCCTTTGCTTCTTTCTGCTGTGTCATTAGAAAATTGACATGTTCTCTTAATGCGGCGCAATGTCGCTCAACGCCTCACTTAACCCAGCCAAAAAAGCATATTGCAAGAAAAGGAAAGAAAAAAAGAAAGAAATAAAGGGAAATAAAATGATGGGCAGAAAATGCCAAATAGCAAAATAAGAAGAAAGCACGCGCACGGCAAAAGGAAAATGCTCATTTTCTACTTGCTCAGCGGGAGCAACAGCAACAACAACAACAGCAGTCATAACAACAACACTAACGTCTCGTTTTCCGTTTTCAATTTTCCACATCGCCTTTGCCTGCCTGTCATTATTTGATAGAGTGAGTCAAGGAATTGATTAAAAAGCATTGTCGTGCATATCCTCCAGTATAGTAAGAAGCGGCGCAGAGCCTTAAGCTGCCCCGCTCGCCCCTCCTAGTGTGCTTAGTGAGTGTACAAGTATGTATGTACAAGTATATGCGATGCCGTGCCACATATGTTGGCCGCACATCTGGTGGCAGGCGCGCGCCTCTTGTCTGTCGATGCTTTGATCTATTCGCCGTATTAACGCCACTACGTCGAAGGCTTGCCTAACAAATTGACGCTTTAATCCGAAGGCAAGCAGTCAGGCAGCCATGATGGCAGGATGTTATATGCGTATGTATGTACTCGCAAGGCAGTCATGTAGTCGATGCCTGCTCATTTGGACACTGACTGTGATTCATTGAGCCGCCAGCAGTCGCAGCGCTCATTTCGTTTCGTTTCATATCGTTTGGTTTGGTTTTATATATTTTTTATATACTGCCAACGCTGCTTTGGCTTTTGTGCCTGGCCTTGTCGTATCTCGTGTCATATTATGGTAATTCGAATCCAAACCGATTAGAGGCAAAATGTGGAAGAATGAATTTCTCTCTTATGTCGTTGCGCATTAGAGCGCGTCCGAGCGTCGTTCCTGCAAGGTGGCTTTGGCAGCGGCATTGACAGCTTTTCCTTGCAAACCTTTTCATTTTGTGCAGTTGCCTTTTTTGCCTTTCTATTTGATGCTCCTAAGTTTCTTATAGTTTCATCTGGCTGTGTGTGTGTATGTGTGGGTGGCGCTTAGTTGTATGCTACGCTAAACAACTTTGCCAACAAAGCGGCTTGTTGCTTCCACACCAGCAAATCAAAATGGCAAACGTGGACATTCTGCAATGGACGCAATTCGTAATCTGTGGCACAAATAGGTAACTTCCCTTTCAGTTTTAAAACAAAGGTTTCCTCAAACATGAAACTACGAGTATAAAAGGTTGTGAATATTGTTCGATGTTCTGATATTTTTTAGTCGAGCCAACAAGTTAGTCAATGGATTCTCTCATAAAAATTGACTTTGCATCTTAATTTTAATCTTTATTTTGAGCTTTGAGCATTAGATTAAAATATGAAGAATATAACTGAATGCAAAAGAGTAGAATGGAATAGAATATTTATAGTTACAGCAATTGTATATTAATTAACAGCTACCCCACAGTTAGTAACAGAATTAGTACCATAAGTTAGAGAAGCGTTTGTTGTTCATTAATACGATTTTTTCATTACGTTTTATCTTACCAATAATTGTTTTAGCAGTAACAACAACAGTAAGTAGATTGCAACTCCAAATCAAATACTTCTTGAATGCAAAATCGAAGAAGATGCAAGCTTAAGCAGAAAATTCCAATAGTTTCGATTTGAAATTGAGTTTTAAATTGATTTTTTACATTTTCAAGTTCTTGTGCACTATTTACTTATTTGGTACCACTGTCAAGTCTTGTTGTAGTTATTGTTGTTATGCACAGAGTGTTGGCTTTCAAGAGTCAGCTCCACCCTAACGCCATTTCATCTTAGGCCAGAGGCACAGTTCAGCTCGTGGCAAGCAACCAGTCAGCTAGAGCTGTATTAAAAGGAATTCTATTGCATTTGAATTGAATTGTGTTTTCCTTTTTCCTCGGCAGCAACAACACATTGCCCGTGACAAGCCACGACAACAGCATTAGCTGGTTATCTGCCTGCCCCTAGTTGTCTTTTTGTTTTGAGCCATATCTGCTCTGGCTTGTGGCATTTACTTTATTTTGCCATTTTTTTCTGCTGCTAGAGGCTAACCTCATTTTCTGATCCGCCTTCGGCAGCTGCTAATGCAATTTGATAACTGCTGTGGCACAAATGTTGAATGTTTATTGCATTGGTTGTCTATTCACTTTTCTTCCATCTGGCCAGTTGCAAGTTAATCAAGCGATTTTTCTTGTTTCTAGTCCTCATTTCTCTGGCAGTTCTAAGGGCTAAAGGAATGCAGAATATCGGCTGCAACCTGTTGAAACGCATCGAATCATCTGCAGATATGCGCTGACTGGCATTAAATAAAACATTATTGATTTCCATGGCAATTGCTCTGTCGCAAGCACTACTGTTGTTGTGCGTGCTTGGCATCTGCTATTCGTGCTCGTATAACTGTTTTCCCTCATTCATTTCTCCGTCTGATTTCTGCGTCTTCTTTCTCCTTCTGCCGGGGTAAGCCTTTGATTTGTGTTTGATTTTTCCGGTGCTAAAAGCATTTCCCGTGAACTTGGGGTGCTCCTATGAAGCTAAGTGCGATGACTGTTCAAAATGGAGTCGAATCGAAATAAGTGAAAGGGCAATAAATGTAGTCAGGCATAAATTATTTCAATATTGCAATATTTGCGCAGAGCAAATGCTTAGAAACGGAATATTGTACGATCAAAGAGTATTAAATTATATTTTGTTGTCTCCTCCGCTCTCTGTGATAAATTGTCTCTAAAGAAAGCTATATTTTTATATATTATATTTATTAGGTAGTAGAGAGTTCTCTGTGACTGCTCTTTGGAATTATAATCCTTTAATGATTTATTTTTGTTTAAGTCTAAGAATATTAAAAAACAACAGTTCATGTTTTGATTGTCATTTTAATAGTCAATTTTAATCTCTGTTATAAATATGATCTCTCTACTCTTTTATATAACTACAGTTGGAGCTTAGAACTTTTTTAATGAATGTCGTCCTTTCATAATTTTGTACATTTTCTCTTCAAAGCTAATGCTCAAGAGTGAGTCAAGCGCCGGCATTGAGCAATTCTTGTTCAAAAGGCATTAAAATTGGCAGTTGGGCGAACTGGAAAATGTGCTTGAGTTGTGAATGCAAAGCAGTTGTAATTGGTGGAACTTGTTGAGTTTTTGCAGATCTGAAAGGAACTGTTTGGCTTTCTTCTATTTTCACATTTTTCTTTGTCAATTAATCACTTTTATTTCTGTCTACACATGTTCCTCAATCAGTGACAGTTAACCTTTAGTGGCTTTTCAGAAGTCATTTTGCATTCTCTTTGGTTATTCTTACATTCAAAAAAGAGGGGGTCATGACTAGAATATGCTAAGAATTTGCCTATATTCATGCGTTCTATTAAAAGACTCTTCAATGAGAAGAAAAACATTCTTTAATATATTTGTTGATATATTTTGTTGTTTTATTAGCTTTTAAAACGGCTCGAGTGATAATTTGTATTCTATCTTTTGAAACATTTATGTTTGTAGCGATTTTAGCAATACACAGATTATTTATGAAAAAGCTGCTTAAATATACAAGTAGTATAATCTATTATATGAGTCGCTATTGGCAGTTAATTCCAGCTCACAAACTGCTTTCATTCGCTCATTAAAATACACATGTGGATTTGAGTAATAACTTCTTAGTTCGTTATCTGTAAATGCATGTGGAACGTTAGTTGGCGATTACAATTCGCAAATGGCAATTCACAAACACATTTACATTGTACGAGTGTGCGAGAGATATGTACTATACATGATTCTTAATTCGTGCATATTAAATTCAACCATTGGTCATTAAACACAATTTGAGTATTATGAGTGGGCGGATGGGTCCTGGATCTGGCGCTTGTGTGCTCCAGTGGCTCCACGTGCGTGCTTTGGTCACTTTGTGGTCACATTTTACAGCAAATCAATTGTGCCGCCCACTCGGGCGTGAAATTTTATTAGCGCAAAATGATTTCATGTGCCAAATATTTGGCAAAATCGATGCCCAGCAGCCACATGGGGCGACCGCAACTGATGAAGCTGCTGCGGCCTCTGTCCCCAATGGCCGCTAATGGCGACGCTCCTTTTTACGAGTGCTTTGCTTTACATTAACGGGGCGTGTCGAGCATATGTGTGTGTGTGTGTGTGTGTGTCTGCAAATGGGTGGGAGTGGGCGTGAGCCTCAGTTTATGGGTGGTGTTTGTGTGTGTGCCTGTATTTAATAATATTGACCACCGCTCACAAAGCGTTTCATTTAAGTGCACTCAAAGCGCGTTATTCGGCTTTAATCTCGCGCTGTTGTGTGCAGTTTATGTCATTTATCGATAATTACAATTTATGCGCTGTACTCTGCTTGTCTCCATGATGATGTCAGTGGCGATGATGTCAGGCTGAGTGCGGCTGGCATTTGTGCAGGACATTGTTCACTTAAAGGGCTGAGCTTTTATTGAATATGACTACAAAAGGATTTTCTTTTTTGGTTTGATACAGTTTTTCAATCACTTTTATCAAATTAATACAATTTTAATAGCTCTTTTGGTCCATTCTCTTTAACCACTAGAGTGGGACAAAATCAGCTTTTTACACTTACTTCGCTAGTTAGCCAGCCACCAGTATCTAGTTATTATTGCCATTAAGCATTTTTCTTTCTTTGGAAATATGATCGACCCTGCCACTATAAAATATTCCATCCTCATTTGTATATAAGTAGCTTGGTATCACCAAAAGTTCACCATTTCAATCATTAATTGTATCAGCGCCTGAAGATATTTAAATAATCATATTATCACAGAAAATTTAACTGAAATTTTTATCTACTTAAGTGTCAAATATTTGCTGTTCAATATAGTTTTAAAAGAAGCACATGAAATATTTATAAATAATATTTTATCAAACTGAAATGGATGCTTAGTTCTGGGGTTGTGCTAACAAAAATGTACAGAAGGATAAAAGAAATATATTTGGTTAATTTTTATATGAAGATGTGTAATTAAGAAGGAAACTTATTATTTGTAAAATTTGTTCATTTATTATTAAGATTAAGCTTCGATCTTAGGTTCGGTCAATCGTTTCAGATGTTCATTTGTTATTAGAAAACTAATGTTGCTATTTAATTTGATGATTGCAGGCATTTGGTACAACAGTGACCGTCGCGATTGGGTTCGGGTTGCCGGCCGATAGTACCCATTATACCCTGTGAAAGGGTTGAGACCATCATCACTGCGAAAATCATCCTTCTCCAGCAGCAGCAGCATCAACAACGCTTGTCCGCCCCCGCCGCCCACTCCACACCAATTGACCAACAGCGGCAACAACAGCAGCAGCAGCCACCAACACCAGAACCAGCACCAGCACCAGCATCACCACCAATCCCAGCACAGACGTCCGAGCAACAGCCACGCACACAACGAAGCTGGCAGCTTGGCCACAAAACCCGCTGCAAATTTGCTCGATAGCAATCAATTGCAAGTGAACTACTTCGAGTTCCCACCAACCACGCGCAGTGGAACGCTGCTGTTGGCCCCCACCTCATCAACACCAGCGCTCAATTGCAACGTCGGCAACGGTTCCCAGTACTCAGCAGTTGCCACAGCAGCCGCTTCGACAGCCTGCGCTCTCCTTGCCACCTGCCAAGCGGGCACCACTTCGGCGAACAACTCACCCAAGAGTGCTGCTGGGCAGCATCACACTTTTCTTCGGCAACAACAGCAACTGTTGCAGCTACAGCGACCACCACAGGTAGCCACAGCAACAACAGCAACAACAGCCGACAGCATGGGCAGACGCGAGATAAAACGTTCTAACACCAGTGGCTCAACCACAAGATCCTATGACAGCGGTAGCGGTGAGTAAAAAGCAAAAAGCGTTGCGTTTTCAGTTAGGAAAGCGGTTTAGATTCCCCCAGCCCCCAAAGGCGGGCAACCTTTTCGCGTTGGCCGCTCTTCAGCAAATTAGTCGCGGCAGCTGCCAGTGCAACAAAATGGAAATCTATTAACCCAAACACAATTGATGGCTGCGTAGTCGTGGGACTGCTTCGGATGCTCCTAATCGCCTTAGGCATTGTGCGTAGGTGGGCGCTGTTAATGCCTCGGCAAATGGCATTAGGCTTGGAAATTAACTCAACCGAGATTTGTTGTCGGGCTGTCCGAGCCTCTGTACCTTTAGGTGATGGAGCATGCCTGAATACCTCCTGGTGCTGGCATGCTCGCCAATACTTGGAAAAAGCTTCTGATAATTGGGATGAGGGCAAAAGGCTCTTTAGCTTAACAAGAGATTTTATAATATATTACTTTTTCATATAGCAATTAGGCAATATTAATGACAGCAGATGGATATATTCTATCCTTCCGAGCCGAATATGCACTTCAATTTCATTTATTCCCAGCAAGGCAAAAGGCAAAATGTGATTTAAAAACAAACATTTTACACAAGGTTTTTGTTAAAGCACAAGTCCCAGCAGAATCATACGACTTTCTGTGGCAGATAGAGGGGGATAAATAATAACTTCGCACACAAAATATAAAGTATTAAATATTTGAAATACTGATTTAAATTCCATTTTACGAGTAAGTACTATAGTACATACATACGAGTATAGAAAAGCCAACTGATTCCTCATACGTTGCATGGCGTCGCACCTTTATTTGCATAACATTGAAACGGAGCAGAATTCTATATACAAAGTCTTAAATAGTAAATGCATGGGCAATGGGTATAAATCGTGCTGTACGTAGTATATACGAGTAAAGGCTTTAAGGACCAGAACGTCGTCGCTTTGTGGTTCTCAGGCAATCACACGTGTCCTGCTGTCCACATGTACCGCAAGCCTGCGTTAGAGCCCAGATGTATGTGTGGGGAGGTATGTGTGTATGAGTGTGCGTGGCTCCGCAGCTGGACTGGTTTTAAGAACAAGCGGAAAATATCTCGGATATGCTGTGTTCGCAGTTCTGGCGATAGAAGCAGTCGTAGATCACGGCCAGGTTGCCCCGATTGCAGCAGATGCGAGAGGCGCGATGACAGGCGCTGCCCACAACAAAGCTCAAGTCCTGGGGATATCGCACGTGTGTCTCTGCGGAAGAAGAAATGGGGGTACCATTAGCTATTATTGTCATACTAGTACACAGTAGTGAGAAAAAAATGAAATAATGAGGCATTTTCTAACAAAGGAATAAATTCAATTATGGAAAGCACAATGAAAGAGACTTATTATACGAGATAAATATCACTTCAGTGTCAATGGTTTAATAATGATATTTCATAGTGGTAACATTTCTTAACCTAGATTAAGTGAAAACATACAATACAACTCAATAATTGGGTTCATTTTGCAGAGTCTTCAATTATAATAACTGCCTTAATTATAGTATTACTCTGGACACTTAAGAATCCACGGCTCTATATTTTAAAAGGACATTTTATGAGATTTGACATTTTTTAAAGTCAGTTACAAGTTTTTAGCGAGGGCTAGCCACAAAATAAAGAGAGATTAAAATGGAGAAATTAAGTAACAAACTGCTTAATAGTTCAAACTTTATAGGACTTTTATTAAGAATACTTTGATATACTTGATGCAACTAGGAGTGCGATAATATAAATAAGTAAATAAATGTCATTTGATCTTATCAAACATTGCTTTAAGGTAAAAAAAAACATTTAATAGTTTTAATATGAAAGCAATAAACAATAATAAGTATAATTGTTTTATTAGCAGCGCACTCAGTCTTATTTCCTTGACAAATGGTCGAGCTACTAGAAACTTCGGACGAAACTACTAGATGTTCCATCACCCTTTCAAATTTCTTTGGCAAGGCAATTTCCCAAACAATTCAAGGTCTTGAGACAACTTGGTAGTTGCAATTTGGTAGCAGTTTCATTCATAGAGAGCACGACAAATAAGGACAAAAAGGACACCACATTCGATTTTTCCGTGGCAGCGTGTAAATGAACTTGAAAGTGCAGAGTTCCTGCAGTTAGCAATGCAGTTGCTGCTGACCGATTTAATCTTCTTTCACGTAAAAGTATACTAATACGGCAGAAAATAAAGATTCATTAATTGCTAAAACTAAAAAAATTTTCGAAATAAAATACAGTATAAGTATTGAAGGAATAGTTGATTCGGGCAAGAGAACACTATTTAAACAAGAGTCGATTATTAAAATGGAAAAGTTGCCTTTTAAAACTTAGTGTAATTTTGTACAATCTGCCTTTTATCTCAGAGTTGACAACTACAACTAGGCTCGTACTTGATTAGCTTATGAGCTATTTGAACTGGTTTTTTGATTTCCACCGACAATTCTCTTTGTAGACCTCGACAATGCACGATAACAGCATTAAATTGACTGCTTTTCTTAGAAGTAATCTTTCATTGTTTAAGTACTTGCATTAACAAATTTGTACATGTACGACTGACTCACCCGTTCGACCTCTGTTGGGCACTTGGCGTGATGGAGGAGCGGATGTTGACAATGCCGATTGTGGGATTCCATTTAGAGCAGGTGGGGCAGGCGCTGTAATTAAGAAGGCCATATTTGCGGGCATGTCAAGCTTGCATCGATTGTGCGTATGTCTTGGTTAAGTTTATGTGTGTGTGTGTGTGTGTTTGTGTTATGTTTATTACCCATAACCTCTGAAGTGTGTATTGGTGTGCGTGTGTTTGCTTATTTAATTAGGAAACAACTGCCTTTAGTTTGCACTTTAATGAGCAGCAACAGCAGCTGACCCTGCATCATTGTAAACACCTACGAGTCGGCAAGTCGCACCCGTTCCCCGGCCATTGTTAATGTTTGCAAACAAGCACGTTGCAAGCAAACCCAGTAAATAGCAGTGGGAACAACAACAGTGCTTATTTATTTTAATTAATGCTCACAAGTGCGCCAATTATAAAGGTGATAGTGTGTGGAGCAATGAAGGTTGCTTGGCCAGCTGCATAATTACATTTCTCCATCGATTTGTTTATGTTCCTGGGCGTTAGGGGAGGGGGGCTACTTTAATGTATGTATGTGTGTGTTTGTGTGTGTGTGTGAAGATGAAGTTCGTGCTCTATTGTGCACACGACTAATGAATGCTTACATAAGATTAAAGTTATGTTAAGCAAAAGATAAGCGTGTATTTGACCAAATAAGCCACGTTGCAATTATCGCAAACACCTATACCAGAGTTTTCTAGCCAAGTCGTGAGCTGCGATTCACACTATGGGCCATTAGCATTCCCTTCCCATGCCCTAAGCTAGCATGCAACATAAATGGAGTCGAACCTACTTAAACCAATTCACCAATAGTCATAATGGAAAGATAGAAAAGTGCGGTTTAAATTATAGAAATTATAATATAATTATACTTGTAATTGGGTTAGCAAGCATACACATTTTATAAAACAATACAATCTTAAAGTAAAGCATATCTTGTCCCCTGTAAACTAAATGTACTCTCAATTTCTTTTAAATGTGGTTTGTTTTTCCAAACTAATATCAGCAAGAAGTATTAGAAGCCTGTGAGATTTTCAAATATATTTGATACCATTTTCTTCTTTTCAATGCGATTCTATTTATGATTATTTGAATTTGAATTTAATTTTAAACTTTCGACTTTGATGCATTGTTTTTCGTTTGGCGTTCCAGTTTAATAATAAGCTTAATAAGAACTTCTTTGTCGTCGATCTATGACTGTTCGTAATCGTTTTGATTGTTTATCCAGCATCCTGTTCTTCCATAGGGGAAGCAACAACATTGACATTATTGACAAAATTGATTGCTTCATAGAAACCCCAAACACTCTTGTCATATCATTAGAATGCTGTTTTTTGACATAATAAATGACCGTGCTTGCCACTTGTTGATAAGAAGTTATTAAATTATTATTAAGAAAAGCCAATTTACTTGAAGATTCGCTTTGTTTTCGGTACTCGCACTTAAAGAAATAATTACAATACAATAGAGGTTAATTAAAATTTAATTTTCTTCAATTTGAAATTGCTTAAGAGTAAGTTCATAAATAAATATATCTTGAAATACATATAGCATACTTGTATATGTGTAGTATGTATTAATATGCCGAAGCGGTGTTATCACGTTTTTGTTTGTGTGGGAATCGGAGAAATCTCGACGTTTTAAAATACTATTCCAATGCCCTACAATTCTTGGCGGAACCAATACTTCTTTGAAGCAGATCCTTGCACCGAATACAGTACGAGTGCGTTGTAAGAACACCGCTTGGAGCTCGCACCCAAACGCTTATCTATTGTAGATCTGCGCCACGTGAGATATCACTTGGTTACGGATTTTGTTCGCGCACGGGTTGACGCCCCAGAAGGCGCCATGGCAGCCGAAATTCTCGAAGCAGTAGTAGCGCACCTTCTCACTGCTCCCCGTGCAGCAGTTGACGATGGCCCAGACACAATTGGACACCTTTGGTGCACTTGTGGGCTGCGGGGGTTGGCGTGCGGGGGTCGGCGTAGGCCTGAATGTGGGACGTGACGTTGGAATGTTGCGCGCTGTGGCGTACAAAAAATGGAAACAATTCATGAGGATGAGAGACGGAGCGATATAGCGCGACTTAGCTTAGGAATAAAGTATGTACTCGGATGGCAGTGAGTTAGTAACAGAGGAAGCATTGTGTGGCTGGCAATACAATGATGTCTGATCCTCAGCTCAGGTCTCGTATGCTGAGGTATTACTTACATGGCTCCCAACGGGGACGATCATCTGTAGCATCAGTTACCGCAAACTGAGGTCTCCCCGCCCAACTAGGACGAGTTGTGGCTATAAAAGAAACGAGTTTCGTCATTAATGGATATCAAATCTGTAGTCAAGCTCTACTAAAGACTCACTTGGTTGCAAATTGCTGCTGGCCCCAGCTCCTGCTCCTCCGCTTACTGCGCTCTGTGCTCCAGCATTTTCGCGATTAAATTCGTCGTATTTCGAGAAATCTGCATCATCTGGATTCGAATTGTGGAACAGGCTATCGGGATCATAAATCTCGTTGGTTTCATCGCCTACTCGTACGCCTACATCCGTGGGATTTTGTCCGTTGGGTCGCCGCCTGGGTCCCTCATAAACGGGTTCTTTGGAGTGCACAGCATGCCTGTAAATTGAATTTAGCTTATTAATTTACTTTTTTTTTTGGGTTGAGATACTCCTATATTGTTATCTTTAACATGACCAAAAACATATTAAATTTTAATAGGCATTTGAATATTAGAAGCTGGATTGTTTCAGATATCTTAAGTTTATGCTTCGATTACACATTCTGGATAGTTCGTAGACTTACCACTGGAAGCTCTGCTGTTGGGATCTGGGAGAGTAGGAATCGAATGCCGTCCAAGGTACACGCGAGTGGGGTAAACGATAATATATATTGCGTCGCTGGCGACTGCGATACTTTTTGTGTTGCTTGTGCAACCATTCGTCCTTGGCGGGATTCCCCAGTTCGGACACTTCGATGTTCAGCGCGGCCGTGTCGTCATCAACCTTTCCGTTGGCAATGGGTTGGTCTGACAACAAATCAAAGAACATCTTTTCTGACTCGCTGCTCTGCTGCTTCAGCTCATGGCTGGGCTTTAGTCTCCTGTGGCGTTGATGCTGGGTGTGCCTGTGTCGCTTGGGCTTATCCGCGTTAGTGTTAGGGTGGGTGTCGGTTGGTTGGCTTGTCCTGTTCGCGTTGGGATCTGGAGGCAGAGACGAAACCAGAAAAGTATTAACATGGTATCTGCATGTGTGCATGCGAAAGTTGCATACCGTAATCCTCGTTCACGAAATCCTCTTTGTACATGACCACCGGATGATCCTCGTGCATAACACCGTCGACGATTCTCACATGGTGGAACTGGGGACGAGAGTCTGGGTAAGCAGGAGGAGGGCGGGCTCAGTTTTCTTTGTTGCCACTTACCTCGACATTGTCCACAGTACCGTAATCCCCGTCCGGTACCAATGCAACCTCATCGTCAGCCTCGTCCGTGGAGGGTCGACAGTCAGCGTGCGACGTCAGCAACAGTACAGCGAAAAGCAGGCTTCCGGCTCCTCTGCTTAAGCCGCCAATTGACAGCACACCATTCATCTCTTTCACTTTATTCACTTTCTCTGCAAATAAAAGAATTCGGGCATGTGCATAAGTTGAACTTTTCGTGATGTATTTTACTTTACTGGGGCCCTTGCACTGAAAATTGAGAGGCAGCCAACGTTAATTGTCACCGCGCGCCACTCAATCTCTCAATCTTAAACTCAATCTCCATCTCAATCCCACGCTCAATTCCTAAATCCTCAATCCGCATGCTCCTCTATTGTTTTGTTCGCCAAGTGTTGGAGCAAGTTTTGAAGCTGCAAATTTGTTGTGGCTTTGTTTTTGGTTTCGTTTTGGCTTCGAGCGGCGAGCGGCGAGCGGCGAGTTGCGAGCTGCGAGCTTCGAGCTTTGTTTTCAAATTAGCCCTCAAGTTGAGTTCAATTTTTCTTGCTTTCTGTTGCATGTTTGCTTTGCGGCTGACTTTTGAATTACTTTTTTCTCTCATACCCCCTGCACAATTTCCACTTTTTGTTTTGTATTCTTTTGCGTGCGGCGCTCAGAATTATTGCGACAAGTCGAAGCTGAAAGCCGTAACCAAATGTGGCAAGCCCCATACAGAGTTTCGAGTTGATGCCACCAAACTTTTTGCAAACACAGAGCAAGTAACCAGATTATCGAAGCTCGACTAAGGCGCCAGCTGGAAAGCAAGAGTGGGTTTCTACGTAGGAATATGTCCCAAAAAATGCCATCATCGAAAGTTTGATAAAAACTGCACTTTGGATACGACAGCAACTGGAATTGTATCGCATTCCGTTTATTGATTGATTTGTTCACTCCGGCACAACATTTTTAATGAAGACATATTTTTGCCCCATTGTGTGGGATTGTTCACATGATGGAAATTGGTGAAAATCGATGGTATAATGAACTGAAAGACTTGGTTTAACAGTCAATATTTTCAAGTTATGAAGTAGCCTACACAAAACCCTTATCTAAGCCCAATCGAAGTTTGTGAGTTGAAGCAATACGGCTGAGAAAAGCTTTGGTTCCCAGTTCAGACAGATTTTTACTTAAATGTTTAATTTCTATATTAATTCTACACATATGTACAGAGTATTTCCAAGTTCGGACACCCGCATTTGGCTTTTCCACTTTATTTTTAATTGAAGAAAAGCCGGTGAATTCGAAGCAAACAAAAATAATGCGAATGGGAACAGACTAGTCTGTCATCAGCATTCGTTTGGTTCAGTTGCTTCCGAATAAATGACCAAGTAATATATTTTTATTATATTGTCAATACACTTTAATCAATCTGTCATATATTGATTTGAAACTAAAACAATATTGCTGTTCCATTTAGCAGGTGTGAGAAGTCGACGTTAGTAAATATTTGAGTTGCACCAATTTATTTAACTTACACTACACACTGAGAAATTGCTTTCAATATACGATAAGTATACGATAAGTACAAGTATTAACAAAATACTTTAATTAAAAGAAGCTCCGACTGACAGCGCGTCACTAAATGAAATGAATTTTGCTTCATGGCTGCGGACCTCTTTAAATGAAAGCAGAAATGTTTGCACTCAGCTATACAAGTATGATCGATCGACGAGCGCTCTCGTGAGTCTTCTACTCTATTTAGGTATATCGAGAACCTTCTTATCTGTTCTGGACGGTCTTTGCTCTCTCACGTATGATTCTATGCTGCGGTTTCTTATCTGCCTTGATAAGGGAGATATTGTCTACGAATAAAAATAAAGACGCATAGCACAATGAATGACGAATTTGTTGATTGTTTTGTCTTCTTTAGCCAGTTGCTAAAAATTGAGTTAGTCAGCTAAAAGGTACCGATCAATGGTGCAATCGGATTCATTTTCATTCGTAGAATTTTATTAGCTCATGCCACAAAAGAAAAGAAAAGTATAGTATTTAAACAGTTGCCCACAAAAAAAAAATTATACTCGTGGAATTTTCAATTTTAAACTTGTAGTGTATAGCAAGGAAAATAGATCGTCTTAAAACATTTGCTTCATCTTGTGTTTTTGTGCGGCCTCGGCAGTTGTTGCTGTTTTTGTTGGTGTTAGAAATAGCGCGAAAAGCGTTGCAAGGTGAGAAGAAACCACTGAACAGTAGGGGACAACCAATTAGCTGTAATGAAGCATTAAATTTCAAGTGAAAACCTATCGCGGCAATGACAGGCGGCAAGAATAATTGAGCGTAATGGGAGTGAACGGCACAGCCGAGCAGGACATCAGGACAACAGGACATCAGTAGATTAAGGAGGGAAAATGAAGACAAATTGGGTTTGTGTCGCCGAGACACTGGAGTGTAAATCATAATCTGTCGCAGCATCATGTTGCCCACACAGTTTAGCTCAAATTGGTTAAATATTTTAATGAAATAATCTATTTTAAGCACGACATAACAATGTAATTGGTCATTAAAATATTTGCCATTAACCGTACAACTCATAAAACACTTTTCATTAAGTCTTCAAATATTTTCCATTGCTTTTGTGACCACAATCTGCATGCTAATCGAATAAGCTGCGGGTGGCAAACGAAAAAGTGCAGTAATTAAAAAATATTTCAATTCCATTCTCGCATAATAATGAATGTAACGCATTATTTGGCTTCTTTTTTGCGGTTAATGACAGTTTTTCATTTAAAAAATGCAAATGAAATGAACACAGATCTGCACTGTGAGTGAATTGCTTACTATTACTCGTATTACAACATTTACTTGATATTTGAAAAGAAAAACTTTGTTCAATTTAAACTTAAATTAATTAATTAATGTTTCAACAACAGAACTCTGTAATAGTTAATGGTTAAGTTTTGCTGTCGTTTCCCCATTGTTTCCAGTCTGTGAATTTTCATTGGACGACAGATTTGATGTGCAATGTGATAAAACCTGAATATATATACTATACATACAGATGCAGTTACCTTTGTGATTTAACATTTGAGGCAAAGCGCATTGTATTCGAATTTAATTCCGACTTCATGTAAATATAGCCTCTTATCTAATAGAGTATTGTTATCAGATTTGGAAACACAATTTCACATTCAACATCCGTTTGTTAACGTACTTAGTTCTTGTTCGCTGAATTGATTCAAATAAAGCTTATTTGGTATAAATTGAAGAGGCCAGGAAGCTATCAAATATCGAAGCAAGACAATTGTAAATAATACGATATACGAGTACAAGTATATGAGTTTTGATTCGAAAGGAAATGACGCGACGAAGGCGTGACCTTGTTTTCCGACATGCCGACTAAAAAAAACTAAAACTTTGTTCTTAAACTGTCCCATTCGTTCATAAATGTCCATTGATTCTGTATAGAATATAAGTATTATTAAATACTGAATATTTGATGTTCCCTTTCAACATTTATTATATTTTTATTATTTAGAACAGCAATTAAGACTCACGTCTTCTGCTACTGTTAAAAATATTTCAAATTAAGCTTATTAGGTACAAACTAAAATAGCCTATCAAAAATATCCTTGGTGTTCGTTTCGAAGCAATAAAAAAGTTACACGATTAGATGATGAGCAATATGTTGCCCCTTTTCTGTAACCGTTTTGGTGCTTAAATGCTCTTTGCGCCTTCATGTGCATGTCCTACCCATATAAATGTGCAATGTTTTTGCGAATTTCACTTTCATTTCGTTTCACTTTTGTTATTTTTAGACAGCCAAGCAGGCTTATATATAATATATACGTGTATATATGTATGTATACACACACTTAGCATAGCAATCAGTGAGCCACCACAAGTAGTTCTGCTCAATGGAGTCGAAAATTTGTACACAACTTGGAGGCTCAGCGGAGCCAGAAAAAGCGCAACGGAGCCAACAAAGCCCCGGCATGAAATTTCACTCTGAATAGCCAACGGAAATTGTAAGTTTGTTGGGGGAATAACCTCAATTTGTTGCAAAATTATTATCCTTTTTGCTACGTCGAACCGACGCACACCCACACACACACGCACATTTGGGGGTACACGTCTGGGCGCATGAGAAGAAACATCGAAATAAAAAGCAGAACATATAAATATACATGTGTATAAAGTTTACAACTAAAACTCGCTTGATTTGAACAGTGATGTGAGTGAGAAGCCCTCCTTTGACTTTCCGTCCGAGCAACTGTTGATGGGCACACGATTAAATATTAAATTTTAATATACGCATCCGTAATGGAATCGGATGTGTATAGTCTTTTATGTGCACATACATTTTTATTTTAATCTGATTTGAATTTAATAAGCTTCTTGTCCAACAATAGACCGAACAATAAAATAAACAATTTAATTAAATCGAAACTTGGGCATTTGGCCCGTTCTTATTAGTTATTAGACTTCAAAGGGGCGCTGAACAAAAAATTTCATTGAATTTTAATGATGCTTGCTACGATGTGTATAAATGGAAAAAAGAGAAGGAAAAAACAGTATTAAAAAGCAGCGCTGTTCTATTGAAAAAGTACGATGACTAATGCATTGTTTAAGTGCCTTAGTTTGATTGATTCGTGATACATGTGCTAATATTGTGAGTTAGTTTAGTTAGTTTTTCTCTAATATCAGAGAAATGCACGACATTGAGTAAAGAAAAAATTCTTTATGTCTGCCACTTTTTAAATGCAAACTTTAACTATTTATTAGTGGTCTAATATTCTGATTATAGCGTACTCTTACAAATATAATGCAATTATTGATTATATTAAATACTTATTAAAGGATTCTTAAAGCGTTATTCTGCTGCTCTAATGATCAACTCAACAATAAATTTTATTTTTACAAAAGAAAAGAATTAGTGTGATGACAATGTTTATTATTATTTATTATTCTTATTTCCATGAAACAGGAACTCTTTCAGTGCTCATCATTAATAATTGGGCTGGAAAACAATATACTTGTATATATAGATATGGTTTATTACCTTTACTAGACTGGCAACAGAAAACAATATACTTGTATATATAGCTATGGCTTATTAGCTTTACTAGACTGGCAACAGAAGCAGAGATCTGAAAAATGATATCCTTAGTTGTTTCAGAAGTTTATTTTATTAACATTT